ACATCGCTAATAGTTGGCATTTTGACAGAGAAGTATTACGTTGGTAATATTTGTCACCTTGACAGAGAAGTATTACGTTGGTAATATTCGGCACCTTGGTAGTGAGGAATTACGTTTGTAATTACGTTGGTAATATTCGGCACCTTGGTAGTGAGGAATTACGTTTGTAATTACGTTGGTAATATTCGGCACCTTGGTAATGAGGAATTACGTTTGTAATTACGTTGGTAATATTCGATACCTTGACATAGAAGTATTACGTTGGTAATAGTTGGCACCTTGATAGACAGAAATTACATCGGTAATTTTCGGCACCTTGGTAGAGAGGTATTACGTTGGTAATTTTCGGCACCTTGACAGATCACGACATATCGGCTGTTGTCCAGCTTGAATGAATGATTGAACATTGAACCTTGCGTTATCAACTAACTATTGAACAATTGTCATTAATATTATATTAACATTTTTTTTTAATTATTGGACACGTAACTTAGAAATACACATGAAGCTCAAATGAACTAACAGAACATTGAAGACAGAACTAGACTTCGATGTTGACAATATCATTGAAATTTAGGTCAGAATCGATGATTACAATTTGAAAATAATTGCGTTGTAAATTTATTTGGTGGTCCTCAAGGTATTTAAATACCATTTATACCGTCAATTGAATAAAAACGCGTTATTTGTGCATATGTGGGCACACATCGTCCGAATCGCACGGTTTCGCTAAAGCCGGCCTTTCATAACCGGCCCACGAACCCGTGTGTGATCGTGTTAGGAAAAGCTGCATTTCACTGCAGTTGAATTGAGTCTTTTGATTGGGCGCGCCAATTAGCTGGTGCCACCAATCAGCATTGCTGTACCATAAATATGAGGGTCGGGGAGCTCATCACAGATTAAAACAATGGCGGTGTCACAATCCCTATGCGCATGCGTTCAAAGGGAGGCGCTTTGCATTCTAGGAATATTAACATGACGGCAATTCATCTCAAGAGTGTCAAAAACAACGCTAATGATATGCACGCTAATCCTCGCTGATTCTCCCGGAGTCGCGAACAGAAGGTCTATATTATATTCCAAAATTTCTTATTCCAACGTTGAAAATTGTCTGTGAGCAAGTGAATGAAGACGACGGAATGTCTAAATATTTGTACAAACGGTGTTTTAGTAACCTGACAAAACTGTAGAAACCGATCCAGTCGTCCTTCAACATTACGGTGGCCCATATATACAATCGGCGAAGAATGACCAAATTTCGGCGATCAATGACGCATTGCGACGATCAATAACCAATTACGACGATCAATGACGCAATTTTAAATATTCATTATACATCATGTCATAGATAGACAGATATATTGGTTTGACGATCCTATTCAAAATGGCCAAATGGTGGTCATTTTTGTGCTAAAAAATCATCAAATATCAAGCATTTATGGATGGATTTCGTTCAAACTTGGTACATACGTTAGACATTACAGGTTCCTGATGCACATCATTTATTTTTCAGATCGGATTCAAAATGGCTGTCTGGCGGCCATTTTGTTTTAATGAATGGGCTTCTAGACCCATATCTCCGACTTGTTTTGACTGATTATATTCAAATTTTAAATATTCATTATACATCATGTCATAGATAAACAGATATATTGGTATGACGATCCTATTCAAAATGGCCGAATGGTAGTCATTTTTGTGCTAAAAAATCATCAAATATCAAGCATTTCTGGCATTTATGAATGGATTTCGTTCAAACTTGGTACATACATTAGACATTACGGGTTCCTGATGCATGTCATTTTAT